TGGGAAATTAAGTTTAAAAATTGTCCCACTGAAATATGTACTAATATATATAGATATAGATAAATAGTATTGTATATGTTGCTAATTGCATAGACTTATGTGGAAGGAAACAAAGAAATGTGACCAGGTGAAAGAAATGGGAGGGGCAGAAAATTGCTTTTGACTATGTCAGTGCCTTTCAGCCATAGAAACACAAGCATAGTTGTTTGGTCAACTATGTTGGGATTAAAGAACTCAAAGCAAAGAGGAAAATTACACAACATCGCAGAACTGGGATGCCTTCATAAGAAGTTGTAAAATAAACTTATGGAATTTGGTTAGTGTTATGTGATTTTTAGGGAGATTCCAAGAAATATAGATTTACTCCAATTGGCTGCCCTAAGGAAGTGCGCATAACTTCATGACTGGGTGTCGTGATAATTCTTATCTATAAGGCAAGAAGAACAGAGCAAGGTTAAAGCTGTATTTGGTGAAGAAGCAGCAGCCACTCATGTAAGCCAGATAAAGAAATACTGCATCATCTTGTAGTTTGGAAAATGTTCTTATTGTTGTGTGTGTTCAGATATGATTACAGAGTGGTTTTGTTTTTGTCTTGATCCATCCCCATCACAGTGGCCTTGTCTGATCTGAATGTTCTGTGAAATTGTTTCTATTCAGTAGAACCACACCTAGGCCTGATGAGGGTGCCACACCAGCCTCTGGCTCTCAGGGACAGTTTTGTTCTTTATCAGCTATATATCCTTTTGTGCCTTTACAACTTTATGCCATGTACTTAACTTATCTACTCAAAATAATGTTTAAAAAAATCTCAGAACTGAAGGAGACCTTAAAAGTCACTGAGCTCTGAGACTATCCCAGCCACCACCATCTTCATCTTCCTGCCACACCAAAGAGATTTCCTCGTAAAAACTCTTTACTAAAACAAAACATGGCAACAATTTTTTTTAAATAATGTTAGAATGATTAATGCCTTTCTAAATAGGAAAAAAAATAACTGAGAGCATAAAAGCATATTTTAAATAAAATAAAATAAATAAAGCATAGCAAAAAAATTAGAGCTAAGCAACAAAAAGTTAAAATATTTGCAACTCGCATAACAGCTGATTTTTAAAACACCAGGTCTTTGTGCCAGTATAGCATCTGCTTGAATATCTCCGGTAAATTCTTGTGCTAATTTATCAGGCAGTTCATTCCACATCAAACAACTCTTCCTATTTTTTGTTCAGAGGAGAAGAGAACAATGCATTTGGTTATAATATCTTAATTGTTTTCACCCCGGAATGTTTGACCTCTTCAAATGTGCTTCTCCTCTAGTAACTAGCTGAGCAGAATAATTACTTTTCTAATTTTATGTAAAATATTCCTATTAATACTCTCCAAACTGCAATTGTCTTCCTCTTTTTTTTTTTTGCCACAGTTCCAACACAGTTTTGCATCTTTTGTTAACATTACATTTGCAGAGATTCTTATCTGTTGCTGATGACATACCCATTTGTTTTCGTATTCAATTACATGTAATTAGTCTTTTCTTCAGGAACAAAAGAACAGGTGTCTTTATCTATTCTATGCAAGATGCCATTGTAAGGTTGGTTGGACCTAATAATGTCTAGTGAACCAAACAGCACAATTCTGACAGATGCTCATAGTAACAAGATTTTTTTCAATTATATGCTTTTTACGCCCACCCACACAAAGTGGAGAAAAGGCATTTTAACATCTTAGAGGCTTATAATTTTCTATTAAAAATTGAGTAGAATTTAAATCCTTCTCTGATGTTTGAAATCCCTACTCAGAAAATATATAAATAAAAATTATTTGTTTTCATTTAAAATGTTTCAATGAAAATATTGGGAGGGACTATCAAAAAAAAGTACATTATTCAAAAACTGGTGAAATCTGAACAAAGTCCAGACTAGACTGCTCAGTTAATAGTATTGTACCAGTATTAATTTCCTGCTTTTGATAATGATGCTGTTGTTACATAATTCAGGGGAACTGGGTGAAGAGTACACAGGAATTCCCCATATTACTTTGTAATTTTCCTGAAGTTTCAAATTATTCCAAAAGAAAAAGTTAAAAATTATTTGGGTAGGAAGGGCATTTAGCCAATGGCCTACATCAACTTATGCACATCTACACAATGAGACATTCGTTCATTTGTTCCTTTTTTTGTTGAGTACTTTCTATATATCAGAGAACATTCTAGGTTCTAAAGATAATTCAAAGATCAGAACAAACTCTCTTCATTCATGGAACTTACAGTCTCCTGAGAGAAAAATCAAAAATAAACAAACAGCAACAATATATATGCCAGGTAGTGATTAGAGCTATAAATAGAAAAAAAGTAGGATATCAGAATAAAGACAGCCAAGGTGAAATGTGTAATTTTATAAGAAATATCTTGGCAGCACTATTTGTAATTGCCCTAAAATAGAAATGATGATTATCCACAAGAGATTGACAAATATATTGGATATATTCATGCAATGGGCTGCTTTACAAAAATGAAAATAACAAACATAAAGCACATATATAGACATAATGTATCAAATAACCATAATATTGGGGAGGAAAAGTACATAACATTTATATACAGTAATGGTCTCACTTATAAAACATTTAAAAACACGTAAAACAATATTATGAATGACTTAAGTAAACACATGTGAAAACATGTATTTTAAAACAGCATCAACATAAAAAATGGCAAATGCAGGATAGTTCTTCTGTTTGGTACTGAAGGAAAGCAGGAATCCATCTGAGATAACACAGGGAGGATGTCAATGTATTGACATTTTTGACTAAATTTTAAGCCAAGGGTTAGGTATCCAGATGATTTTATCCTAGTCTTAATATTTTATAGATCCAAACTACTTTTAACACCAAAAAGTCAAAAAGTGTATGCAGTAGTTTATCTTAATAATAAATAAGATATTGCAAATTTGTAAATTTAGACAGTTTCTAAAAGTACGTGACAAAATATATCACCCTTGATATATATGTGTGTTATCCATAATGCCACTATGCATAGAAATACATTTTGTTATACGAACAGGGTGGAACGAAAGTAGGATTACAGTAGTGAGTACATAAAACACAGTTTATTTTTATATTATTACTTATTAATATTGTATTATTTTCTATGTGAACAACTGTAAACCTGTTTTTGCCCCACCTTGTATGTCAGAGTTTGTGTATAATGTATGTATGTGTGAACACAGATGTACACTAGCCACTGACCCAGTGTCAGCAGAGAAGGCACCTGCAATTATATTTCTAACAGCAATAAAGAAAGGATTTGTCTTAGTTGACCCCACACCTTCACCCCGGCCTTCCGCCACTGACCCACGACACATGCCGTGCATCTGCTGGACAGCGGTCTGAGTGATAGCGCGTCCTATGCAACTGAGTGTGTGCACTTGGCTTACTTGGGGATTGAATGGATCTTCATCAATTTATAATTTTTCAATCTTTTTTCTTTAAAGTGCAGTGGATGGTGCTGATGGAAGATATTAATATTATCATTTCTGGCCACCTCATTTTATAGAAAAATAAACTGAAATCAAGAGATATCTCAGAGATAGCATGACTGACACAGCTTAGAAATTTCCCTGATTCTTTCCATCTACACTTTTGCTTTACTAAATCCACATTCATGTGCAGATGCAAAAATGGAAATCCTACATGGAGAGAAAACCATCCTCATTCTTCTGTACTCAGTTGAAAATGTGAATCATTTAAAGAATGCATTCCCCCAAACACAAACCAACAATGCAAACCACAATAAGCTAATCAACTACTTTGCAGAAAACTGCAATGAAATTCTTTATAATAAGATCTTTTCTTTGCTAATAATTCATAGTTTGTAATGTGTGATATTAAGTGAACAAAGAATAATTTAGAAGGGGTGGACTAGAAATTTTTCACAGTTTAGGAATTGTGTATCTTTCCGCACATCTTTATTTTTAATTGAAAAGATATTTCACCATAAAATACCAAGCTTCTTAGATTACCTTATGCAATCTACCTTTTGGTAGGCTGTCAGTTTGACCACAAAATCATATCCATTAGAAAACAATTCAACTGGACATACATTTAATGAGCATTTACTACGCACGCAACACTAAAGATATAGGAGTAAATACAGACAAACTTTAGGACACAGTATGGCACAGCACTTAATTTTAGAACAACACAAATTTTCCTCAGTACATTCATATCATTAGGCAGGAAATGAAAGGTATGCTGAGAGTGATGATTCTTGGTGCTGAGGTTTATATTCAAAATTTTTCCAAAATGCAAGTATATTCTATTATGCCTCAATGATTTTACTGAGTTATTAAACTTGTCAACTCCATAGTTAAATTAGTTAAAAACTAATTCCAGAGATATTATTAATATTTTAATATTTGGCATTTTTTATCAAAGATTATAAACACAATTTTAGGCCAACCAATTTTAATTATCCTGTTATTATCACATATACTACAAAACATTACACTATTTTAATAATTTTCCTTTTAAAACCAATAATTTTTCCTAAATTCAAATAAAATAACATGTAATATATACATATGTATATATTCGATGTTTACTTTAACAAGTAATTTTTGTCTACTAGAAATGATGCTCTAAGAATTATTCTAACGTTTTTAATATTTAGTTCTAGGATTAAAAACACCATCTTGTGCTGTAAAGTCCGCACCCTGTTCTTAGGAATACTCGTTGTCATCCTGACTACAAACACCGGGATGGAAGGATATTCTTGTCTTGTAACCAACTGGAACTCCTTCAAGCCTCCTAACTTCTCATATAGTACATAACATTTCTCCCTTATTTTTTCTGTGCTATTGGGAATCATAGCAATAAAAATAAAGGAAAAGACACCAGTTTATTTGTAGTTAAATAGTTTAAAAGGCAGCCTGGCCATGCTTTAAGTCTACAATACACTGGGCAAACATTTCGTTGTAATTGGATTGCAAGACTCTAATGTTCCTTACTGTAGTCGCTGTTTTCGTCCTTGGTCCCATCAATGGTACCATCTGGGTGCATCTGCAGGAAATATCCCTGCTGGCTGAATAACCTTGTCACAATTCCTTTCAGCTGGGGTTCTGAAAAACAAAAAGAAATGATTATTCAAATGTGTATTTTGCTTATAAAAACGCATACTTGCAAATTGTCAGAAACATTCTCTATGTAAATGCATAAATGCCAATGGCTTAAATATTAAAATAAGTGTTTGGAAAGGGGGCATTTTAGGACCGTATCTTCACTTTTGTTTCCCTTTAAGAGGCAGAGCCATAATACTATGCAGCAATAAACCAAATGTAAATAAATAAAAGCTAATTATGGTTAGCAGAATACAGAGGCATACTAAAAAGTGAATTATTTGTCTCTCTCGTGTATCTAGTGTCTGACTGAAAGTTTATGGTCCCATTCCAGAATCACCGTTTACACCAAACTGCCACTGTAATTCTTAAGCTTCCAGCAGTAATAATCAGCCCTGGGAAGACTTCAATTTCTACTGAATGTCAACTATCCATCAGAAGCTTTTGGGTTTTGAAATTCTGGTCAAGTTCAGCCAGAAAGAATGACTTGGATGAGAACCACAGGAAAGAGCAAAACCAAGGGCCAAGAGATGTTACTGGAAATGTGGAAACAGATTTCACCTTCAGTAAATACCTCCCCAGAGAGGAACCCCAGTACTAAAAAGTCATTTTTTCAGCCCCCAAATAAATCAATTCATGCATATGTCTCGGCCTCAAAATAGAAGTGGCCCTCAGCTTTCAAAAACTCCTCACTGATTACTGCCATCAAACTGAACTTTGTATACCACATTTGGATTTTCATACATTGGCTAAAATAAATATTTAAAGCTTCCTCGATGGGGTGCTGGCTTCTAGAAACAGCTATTTTCTACAGCATCAGTACCATCTTTGTCTCTACTTCAGTGCTGAGCAAAAATCACACTATTCTAGTGCATTTATAGCCCTAATTATTTTATAAAAAACGAGAACAAAAAATTCTGCTTCTCATGATGAAAATTGAGGCAAAGATAGAAATCACATGATTGCTGAAGTAGCAACATGTTACCCTCAGAAGGACAATCACAGAATTACAACTGATAGTCCATTTCATTCCTTTACCCATCTCTTCAACCAATATTCACTCTGATCTCTTCATCTGCCATGGAATATGTGAGGCACTCTGTGTTAAGCTGGACACATACACTCATGCTTAGGTCTACATAAGAATTCTAGTTAAGGAGTCAATGAACTTAACTCGTTGGGAATGGATCTATTCCCTGTAATATTTGTCTACAATTAGTCTTTTGCACGTATGACTTGATCACATACATTTGGGGATATGAGGCAATGCCTATATAAACATGGTTTTCTTTTTCGAAATCAATTCTAAGAAGCAGAAAATATGCCAAAAAAATTGGGAATTAGGAAGGAGGCTTATAAAAAAAACTAAACTGAAAATTTGGCATTCTGATTGATAACTATAATTACCTTCATAAGTGAAACTCAATTTATTTAATTTGTGTGCCTAAATTTCCTCATCAATAATATCTAGAAGTTAAACTAAATGAACTTTAGGTCCTTTCTATGAGTCTCTATTTGCTTTGGGTACATTAAAATCCTCTGCCCTGAGTGGTAGCGGAAATCAAGGAATGGATGCATCTTTAAAGTGGCGCTTCCAAGGGTCCCCACACAATTTGACATACTTGGGACATATTGGAAGAGCATGGAGCTAACTAACCTCACACACACAAACACACAAAAAAATTCCTAAACCCCAGTTACCATCTATCAAATCTTACCAACCTTAACAGGCTCAGCTCAAGATCACCTCCTCCATAAAGACTTGGAGATCGTAAGTGAGAACCACTTTCATAATCAGGGAAAATATGAAGAACACATGTGCCTCTGCCATGAGGCTGACTGACTGACATGCAGGTCCTGTAATGGCACACGGAGCCCTTGATGTGCAACCAGAAGACCCAGTATTGAACCACAATTGCCGAGTGGTCCTGAGAAAGTCATTTAATATCTAAGCCTCAGTTCCCACATCTATGACAGGGAAAAAAATAATTCCTATGTTAACTATAATCATTAAGATTTTAAAATAAATAAATATGTGTGACAGTATTAACTGCAAAATTCCATATGATTATAAATCCTAATTAAGATCTAATTTTTCAACCATGAAAATCAAGGAAAAAGTGTGAGGTAAAAGGGGTATTCTTTGAACAGAATCTATGTCTTCTGATTTCTGTTTTAATAAAATAATGAGACTGTAAAGTCACTAAACAGAAGGCAAAGAGTAGAAGCTAGAAAAGGATAGAATGAAAGGGGCAACTGTCTTATAATTCATATTTTCTTTCTAATCAGCTTGATAAGGTCACTTTAAGAACTCATGTTTTGGTTGATAATGAGTCATTAATGCCTGCAAATGATTGTTTGTTTTTTCTGTGATCCTCTTCTGAAGCTGTAATTAAACACTTCTTTAGCTACGGTGAAGCTATCCGCACCCCACCTCACTGCTGGGGCCCTGGGAATTCAGGTTGGTTACTCCTGTTCAAGATAATGAGCATTAGGCTTTTTTACCATCCCCCACTGCCCAAGAGCAGTGCCAGAAGCAGCTTGAAATTTGAGTTCTAATTATGTGATATCAATGAAAGTGAATGTCTTGCACTACAGATGTTTCAAAGGAGACCTGGCCATCCGTTGAACAAATATCCTGAACCTAGGATATGTCATAGAAAACAGTATTGCCTGCCTGACAGGTCTGTACCCTTAATAATATCTACCAAACCTTACCAACCTTTCTAAGCTCAGCTCAAAATCACCTTTGCTATGAAGGCTTGGTGACCATAAGTGAGGGTCAAATTTTATAACTGGGGGTACATGTTTTGTTGCATATTAAAGGAAGAGGGTCAAATATGAGACTATATTTGACACATCTAATATCCTGGGTGTATTCAACAAATGTGCTTTTTATTTGTCAGACTATGCATAGGGATTTGGTAGATTAATAAAACCTGGCTGTCCTCAGGGAGGACCCAGTGTGATGCATGAAACATATTTATATATAATACTAGTGTGGGGTGACTGTTAAAGGAGGGATAGAAGCAGCGTGACATGATGGCACCAAGGAGAAAAGGAATAATTCTGTCTCAAGGTTGGATGAAGGCACCTCATCTGAAGAGGGAGTAGAATTTTCACAGGTGAAAAAATAAAATAAAATAAAAATAAAAATAAAAATAAAATAAAGAGAATAAACAGTGAAAGGGAGAAAAGACATTGCAGACATAAAAACAATGGAGGGAGGCACAGAGAAACAGCATGGTAGACTCTGGCACGGTGCAGAGTCTGGAATAAGTGTAAGCTACGGCAGAGGTTCTTGGTGCTGACATGCAGGTAAGTGACTGTCCTCAACAAATGTTCACAGGTTAATGGTGGAATAAGAAAAATAGGGTCAATAAAATAAAATTTTTATTAAGATTTTTTTAATTTATATGATTTACCTGGATTCTAAGGTTATGTTTTCCCATTGCTTTTTCTTTTTTTTTTAAATTAATTGATAGTTATATTATTAGATGCGCAGGGCATGATTACCTTTTGTACTCTGAAGTCATATAGCAAATACTGTTCGCTTTCCTCCGAAATTAATTTCCTCTTCTTCCTAGGCACCCAGCTAGACCATATGTCCTAGTCTTCCTTGCAGTTAAGTTAGGTTTGGCAGATGAGTAAGTTATCACATGGAATGTAAGTAAAAGTTATGTGCGCCATTTTCAGGCCATGGATTTTAAAAGCAAATATTCTCCTCCAAATTTTCTTTTCCTTAACACTGGCTGGATTTAGATGAGAAAGTTCTATGGGATGTCAGCAAAACAGAAGAATTCTGGGCCCTGATAAACTGGTGAAGAAAAGACTGTCATCAGAAATATCCACCTTGTAACCAGGTGAATAAAAACAACTTTTGCTTGGTTGTACATAGTGACGTCCTTCCAAACAAAATAGTATGAAAAGGGGGTGGAAGGCAGGGGAATAACTTTCCAGGGGAGAAATCTGACAAACAAAACACTACCTCAGTCATGCGATCAATGTTAGGACCAAAAGTCATAAATCATATTGATAGTATGTACCTTTGATATGATGTGATGAGAACAATACTTTATTTCTGTGATCTTCCTCCCAAAAACTCATAACTTTTGTCTAACATTAAAAAAATTCCAACTGAATGACTTTCTAAAACCTAGCGGACCAGTAACCCTCAAAACTGCCAAGCTTATCAATAGTAAGGAAAGTCTGAGAAACTGTCACAACCAACAGGATACTAAGGAGACATGACAACAAAAGGTCATGTGGTATTCTAAATGGGATCCTGGAACTGGGAGAAAATACATAAAAACTAATGGAAACTGAAAGAAGTACAGACTTTAGTTAATCATAATGTATTGATACATATTCATTAATTTTCACAAATATACCAAACTAATGTAAGATGCTAATATAAAAAGAAAAATGGTGTAGAATATAGGGGAATTCTGTGTACTATCTTAACTTTCCTGTAACTATAAAACCAATTTAAAATTTAAAAGTTTATTAAAGATAGCTACAGTCACAAAAGCTAGTAAGATATTTTATCCTCAAAGAAAATGGGTGAGGAAAAAAAAACTAAGAACTTACAGTATTTGAAGTCCTAGCCACAACAGTGAGACGAAAAAAGAAATAAAAGAAATCCAAACTAGAAAAGAAAAAGTAAAACTGTCATTATTTGCAGATGACATGACACTGTATACGGAAAACCCTAAAGATGTTAGCAAATAATGACTAGAACTGTTAAATGATTTCAGTAAAGTAAGAGAATACAAAATAAATATTTGTAAATCAATTGCAATTTTTATATACCACTAATGAATTAATCAGAAAGATAAATTAAGAAAACAATTCCATTTAAATTACAATGAAAATAAAAGCCCTAGGAATAAATTTAACCAAGAAGGTAAAAGTATAAGACATTAAAGGAAGAAATTAAAGAAAATAAAAATAAATTGAAGTACATACCTTGTTTGTGGTTAAGAAGAATTAACATTGTTAAA